TGAGGGGAAAGGATCCATGTTTCTGATGGAGTTGGGGGGCTCAGCCTGGAGAAAAGGGGCTCCCAATTCCCAGTTCCCAGCTCAGGGGGAAAGGATCCACGTTTCTGATGGAGCTGAGGGTGCTCAGCCTGCAAAAAAAGGGCTCCCAATTCCCAGTTTGGGGGGAAAGAATCCACATTTCTGATGGATCTGGGGGGGCTCAGCCTGGAGCAAAGGGGGCTCAGGGAGAACCTTCTCCCTCTCCACAACTCCCTGCCAAGAGGGGGGATCCAGGGGGAGTCTCTTTTCCCAGAAAACACAAATCCCAGGACCTCGAGTCGCACCAGAGGAGGTTTAGCTTGAACATCAGGGATCTTCTTTTTTCATGGAAAGGGTCCCCACCCCTGGAAATTCCCCAAAAACCTGTGGCTGTGGCCCTTGGGGGACATGGATTGACGATCCCAAAGCTCCTTTTTAACCTGGATAATTCCAGGATTCCTTTCCCTCCCACGGACACCGTTCCTGTGATTTTCCTCTCTGCTTCCAACTTCCCTCTCCTGGAACTTCATCACAAGATCAAAACTCGCCGAATTTCCAAAATTAGAACCAGGGTTCCCAAAAATCCCTGCCTGACACACATTAGGAGGCCCCACTGCCAAAAGTTGGATAAGACTTGACCTTGTTTTGTTTTGGTTTTTTTTAAGCAGAAATTTCTGGGTTTTAAAACTGCCTGGGCTGGAACTTTCCATCCAAGACTTAGGATCTTTCCCGTGGCTCCAGCTCTTTCCCTGGGAGCTGCATTTGGAAATATCAGGTATTTTAAAGCAAATTTTCTTTATTTTTTTTGGAGTGTTTCGGATGATTTCGCTTCAGTTCTGCCCCGAAATGGGAAAAGTTGGGAGTCATACAGATTTTTTTGGGATGTACCAGGAGGAAAAAGAGGGGATAAGAGAAAGAAAACACATCCACAACCACCCCAATGGATCTTTCCTGAGGACAAACCACTTGGAATAAGCTCAGGATGAAGTGGCTTGAACTGATTTAGTGGTTTAAACTGATTTAGTGGAACCTGGATTTGGGTGGGTTTTTAGGATTTGGTTTTTTTTTCTGACCTGGTGCTCTTATTAATGGGGAATATCTTAATCCTCAGTGGGCATCTGCTCCATATATCCATGGAAAGTGGGAATTCTGGACCCCCCCCAAAGGCAGATTTCTGCCAATCTGTCCCGAAATCTGGGATTTTAAAGAGATTCCCTTGACTTGGTTGTCCAAGGCCTCCTCTTCTCAATTTTCTGGGAACCTGAACAATTCCAAGCAGGCTAAAAATCCCAGGGGGAATTCCAAGCAACGCCTGTTTGGAGAATTTCCAGTTTGCAGCTGGAAGTTGTGGCTGCTCCAAAGCCCCCAAAGCCAAGTTGGGGCAACCTGGGATAGTGGAAGGTGTTTAAGGATGAGCTTTAAGGCCCCTTCCAACCCAAATCATCCTGTGATTCCATGGATTTGAGGCTCCTCTTCCCCTAAAACGCCCCAATCCCAGCCACCACCCAGGTTGCCACTTGATTAAAGCTCAATTTTGGTTTCCAGTGGAAGGTTTTAATGCATCTCTTTGATTTATTGCTGCCCCCAGAGAAACCAGACAGCCAACAGACTTTGATATCCTGTTCCATAATGATCCCATCAATATCCATCTTCCAGGAATGCACTAATTTAATGCAAGGAATCACTGGATCAGCTGTTCCTCCCCCTGCAGCCCCAGTGACAGGCTGTAAATCAGCCCAAGAATTCAAATTAATCCCTTTTTTTTTTTTTTTTTGCAAACTAAAGGCAAGGGTTGCAAAAAAAAAAAAAAAGCCAATATTTATTAAATGCCTGAA